GATGCAGAGATTAACCTTATAAATAAATTATATATATACAGCATATGGCAATTTGATGCCACCAGGTAGCTGAATATACATGAATCCATTTCTACGACTAGAAAAATACCTCAAAATTCACATGGTAGGAGAATGCATGAGCAAGACTGTCTCAGATAGATGTTATTATGTCAAATAATGAAGGTGACTGAACAAGGACAGGCTGGAGAGTTTGTCTAAACAGAGGTAGGATCTGTGACAGCAGTGGTGATTCTGTATCTTGGAAGGATGTCTTTTTTTTTTTTTTTTGGTACCTCCACTCTCTTCTCACAGCATCATTTTAAAACCTTTTATTTTGAAAAATTTCAATCCCCCTGAAAGGAGAAGAGTATGATGAACCTCCACATACTCATCACTAGCATCAACAATCATCAATATTTTGCCATAATTTTTTATACTTCTAACATTTTCACACACCAGGTAAACTGAATTTTTACCCACAAATACTTAATTATGCATTTCTAACTGTTCGTGACTTTAAAAAACCCTTAAGTACAATCCCATTATCATACTTAAGAAATGAAGTTAATATTATTTAATATCCATCTTACATTCAAATTCCTCCAGGTCTTTCAAAGTCATTGTTGTTGTTTGAATCAAAATTCAAACAAGATCCACCACATATTGCATTTGGTTGGTATGTCTCTTAAGATCTTTCACTGTGTGAACTTCCCTCCTCCCATGTTCCATGCCATTTATTTGTTGGAAAAACTGGATAATTTTATCCTGAGACTATGAAAACAATTTAAGATTTTACCGCTGTGCGTTTTTGTCCTTAGACTATGTCCGACTAGTGATGTACAGTAATACAACTATTTTTAGAGTTACCAGCCATAGTTTATAATATTTCAGAACACAACCATGCAAAAATTATCTAGATAATTTTTAAAGAAAAAGCAGTTACAGATTATTATAACAAAGAAAACTTCTCCTTAGCTCCCCAGAATTTCTAAAAAGTAATGATCTTTTATATTTCTCTTTGATATTACATATTTAAAACTATGCTTTTTCTTAAATTTTCCAGATTCAGTACTGTGGTATAATGAGTGTGAAACTTTTAAAAACAAATATTCAAATTAAATCAGGAAAATGCATTACCGATGTAGGTATGGATGATGGTAGAAAAATTACTGCAAGGTGAGGAAAATAATAAACCAATGAAGCAATCAAAATTATGTAACATTTCTATGCAGGATCATTAATATTTTCTATGAAATAAAAGTCATGTGTTCAGATGACAAGGAGAAGGCACATGTTGCTCTTTCAATGTTTTTTCACTTGAGATTTGGTTAGATCCGAGCATTAATAATAATAGTTGAAAAATTGACCCAGAAAAGCTGGATTATTGGTTTATGAGAAAATGAAACCATAGACCAATATGTACATTATTATTTCTAAATACAGAAAAGACCGAAAAAGAGTATGAATATGAGAGAAAGACTTATCCTTAATTAGGCAGAAACTTGCCAGGTGATATCTAATGACAGAAAACAGTTCACCATCAGAGCAAGGTCACTGACCCAGAATCAGACAGACAGATGTAGGCGAGATGCTTAGCTCTGCTACTTATTAGTTGGTGCCCTGCATAAATTTACTGAATCTCTATGAACATCCATTTGCTCATTTCCAAAATACCTCACCTCTTAGGTTTCTTCCGAGATTAAAATTGTTAAAATAGTGCATGATGCATAGAAAATGCTCTTTTTTAAAAAAATGTAAAAATGTACAATCTATGCTTCTCAAACTTAGGGTATGTATACTTGTACAGCATTCTAATCAACTCTAATCAACAAAACGAAAGAAGCAGTAAAGACTGAAGACAATGGAAAGCAATTTAAAACATTGGAAACAAGATTTACCACTTAATAGACCGCACAATAAGCATAACTGTTTGATATAAAACATGATACATACACATTTCATGCTTTGTGGAGGGTTCCTGGAGCTAAATCTATGTCCTTTCCTATGTAAAGGAACTTATTCTTTGACTTTAAGAATACATACTTGAAATAATGTGAAAACACTCTTGTATAGGTATCTCAGGATAAGTTTCTAATTAGAAATATATTCACAGTCCCAGAGTTTCTTTTTCATTATTTTTCAGAAACCTACATTATTCCGAAATGAGGGATTTTCTTCCACTTCCTTCCTTGTGCTCTGGGGTAAGAGGTTGGGAATAATTGGTTTCAGGAACTTGAACTCACTGGTGGTTCCTGAGCCTCCGGTTAGACATATCTCATACTGGTAACTCCGAGATAGGCTCCCGGTGCCGCTGACATCCACCAGGTGGCCAGGAAAGTGGCCCTCAGTAACCGAGCAGCGACCCCCCGAGGCCGCCCTGTCCCTCCTGCACAGCCGCACCGCCACGAACAGCAGCACCGAGAAGAGGAAGAGCGAGGACACCGA